CCAAGGGTGAAGGAACACCTAGAAGGTTCGAGGAAATCGAGGCCTGAGACCCCCTGGGTGGTCACAGAATGTATGGCCACGGTGCGGAGTTTGGAGTCACTGTGAGGATTTTGAAGCGAGAGCCCCAAAGTTCAATGCGCGAAATTTCGGATAATTTTACTGTGCTTCCGTTGATCATCGAGTTGCTCGAGCAGACACCAGTAACGCCTCCATTCGTCCCTGCAACGTGCAAGAGTTGCCCAATGGGTTCTCTCTGCTCGAGGGACACGATGAACTTCATACCATTCGTTCAGAGCTTTCACGAAGAAGTCTGACCATCGCGTAGGCGGTCGTCCAGGTGTTCGCTTGACATCCCCTGGACAGTCGGTAATCGCTCTGATCCAGCGTTCACATTCGTAATGCGTGACGTGCCCCTCTCACTTGATCTTCGAAATCTTGCCAAATGTGTCTCCGTCCGTGAGGTTTGATCGCTGGCAGAGTGCAAAACACCAAATTCCCCTCTCTCTTTTTGCGTGTAGCGGGAAACTACGAGCATGGATCCTCCGATGGCGCGTTGAACGACAACAAGCTCATCCTGCTTTCGAGTATCCGAGACATAAGTTAAAGGCAGTTGGCACGATAAATCGCTATACAGATGTAGGATTTATACGACTGGCTTAACAGAATTCCGCGACCCTGGGCAGGCGCTGCATAGCGGTTTCCCCGAGGAAGGTGCCCTTATAAGGGCCCTATCAAGCCACAACTTTACGTCCCAAACGCCCGCCCGCCCACAAATGGACGACCGTTCCTGACGCTCGTATTCATTCATTTGCTAAGCAAATTATGAAGCGGGATTGGTATGAAGCGGCCGTGCGTAAAAGGGTTCGATTGCCACAGAACCTACCGGTGCATCCTTTTAAGACTGAGTGATTGATATGTGTAACCCATAGGGAACATTGAGACATGTGATTATGACCCTTAGGTAAATAGTTAGATACTCGATGCGTGACCTCTCCTGTATTGAGAGGCACGCCTAGATTAAGTTTACGTTTCGTACTACCTGAACGGTCCGAGAACTACCCGTTCATCGGCACCCACCACGTATCCCGAGGCCGCCCCGCCCAATAAACCATCGCGACAACGACATAACGCGTCACCAGGAGGACCGCGGAATGCGAAGAGGCTGGCAAGCAGGAACTTGGTTGTCCATCGCTCTTCACTCACTAAGCTCCTCCATGTTCTTTTATCTTGGTCGCGCCACAATCTCAGACTAGACACAGTCAAGATGAATGCTTACTAGTTACGAACTGAGGTTCGCACCCTTCGCCTTACCACTGTGGCTTCCAATCGCCATGCGCTCCGGGGTCGGAGAGCTAAATTAGCTTGAAGCACCCTGGTGAGCCAGTTTAGGCGGTGGTCGAAACTCAGGCCTACCACGCTATTCTAATATAAATCGATTCCGTGTTTGTAGCTCGCGAGACTTCTCGGGAGTCCATTAGTCCACTGGTGGCTAAGCTAAACTAAGAAATTAGCCAAAATAAAAACGCGGTAAATATTCTAGCAGTAGTTCGAAACCTCGCAAAGAAGATTTCGCAAAACACCTCTTTTCAATGAAAATACCAACTAGACATAGGTCGGGTTTCAAGCTGGAAGTCTTGAATGCTTCAAACAAGTTCACGTTCCTTGATTTTTCGAGTTCTCTACAAGCAATACCAACGCAATACAACAAATGAATGTTAATACGATGGAAAATATCAAAATGAAAGGCAAATTAAGAAAAAAATCGGTACAGCGATTCACACAGTCAAGCCACAGGAGAAGAATATGTTCCACAGGACACGAACATTAACAAGGGGTGTTGAACGGCAAATAATACAAGGATAAAAGAACAGACTGTGTGAGAAGTTTAGAAAAAACAATGCGTGGAATGCAATGTTGTGAAGAGCTACAAATCACTCATTTTTCTCCTCGTCCTTGTCGTTTACTTCTTCGTTCTGATCATCGTTAAGAACGTCATCCATGACGTCCATGAGAACCTTGAGACGATTTTTCGATTCTTCCAATTCTCCATATGATCTATCCAGTTCGAGCGACTTCTGGAAAACTCAGTAGCTGACGAAAGGTATTCGTACACTTAAATGTGTAATGGACTTGATGTGTGAGCTAAACGTGTAAGAACTGCAAACCTATGAAAGAGAACACTTCTGAACTGAGAGGGTGAAATACGGCCCTGGCGATGCTGGTTAGTACACAAGCCAAAGTGTGGGATTTAGGTTCAAGCCCTGCCTGGGATCAACTCAGTGTCTATAACCCTCTTGAGAGAACTTGATAAGCTTTGCCAGATACATAAATTTTCCAGAAAAAAAGCCTTAACTCACATTAAAACTATTCTCTAATTCAATATCGATTTCCTTCTCTAGTCTCTCTGCCATACCACGCCAGTATGAAGATGTTGGTTCTTCGCATAACAGGTCCTTAATAACAAGGTTTAAGGAGTTAGCGTTAAGAAGCATTGACTTGTTGCTGTTGATTTGAAAGTAGTACCTCCTTAGTAATAGGAGGCGCTTCTTTAGTTGTCGTAACATCAGTCTGAGCGTGAGTGGCTTTGACCTAAACATTGTATCTCACAAACGTGTGCTGAACTGTGTTTTACTTTACTGTGCCGAGGTGGTTGCTGGGTGGAAGACTTTATTGGAGTGTGCCTGACATTACGACTGGATCATCGTCCTCAGAGACCTGAACATGGCTCAAGGTTTAGATATTGCACTCTTTGTACCGTCAAACTCCTCGACACCGTAGCGGTTCTGACGAAATCTCAGGAGATCTACCGAAAAAGAATAATGGGAGAACACTTACCGATTCACCACCATAGGAGCGGAACGACGTAACTCGCTGTTAGTTGCACTTAGTAAGCGGAGACATATTACGCTGTCCTTATACAGCAACTATAGCTAGGGATCATTCATTCTCTCGTTCTCATAGTTCATATCGATAGCTCGCAATGCGGCATAAATGGTAAGAGGTCAGGTTCGGTCATCTCTACGATTTCTCGCGCAAATCCCAGGACTGCCCTTTAGCGCTTGTTCTAAGCCAAAATTTGTCTCGTAATTGCCATAATTCTTGCTTGAACATCAAGCGCACGTTTATAAATACTTGCTGTATAGGGGTCAGCAAAATGTGTCTCACATACTAACTACAACTAACAGCAAGTGGCGTCGTTCCACTCCTGCGGGGTGGACTGGTAAGTTCGTTTCTCCGTTCGGGTTTCTTGGTAGTTTTCCTGAATTTCGTCAAAAACGCTTGGATGTCGAGGTGTTTGGCGGTATAGAGGGTGCAACATCTAAACCTTGAGCCATGTTTCAAGGTCTCTAAGGACGAAGATCTAGTCGAAAGACTGGCCAATTCCAATAAAATCGTCCACCTAACAAGCTCTTTGGCACAGTAAAAAAAACTGCAAAGTTTACAATAACGCTGATTTCATGAAGTCGAAAGCTGGAGACTGCAATGGAACGGAGTTCGCAATCCGGAAGAACTGGCGGCAAGAGAACAGTTAGGGGAATCCGTAAATCGGTGGAGCCACCACTCACCAAACCTGATCTCACCTTCTGCCACTGACTCTCACGAATCGCATATTTTGCAGAATAGTGGATTATCCACATCGATATGCATAGATTCCTGTACGTAATACCAAATCGTAGATAACCCCAAATCGCGATATTTC